CCTGGCGGCGGGGCCGAGGCGGCCGCAGCCCAGACTCGACTCTGCCGCCGCTGCGGGACTTTCCGACGGCGACCGCGGGTTTCCTGGCTTTTTTCGGTCTCAATGTGGGAGAAAGGCACCGGGGCGACCAGTGAGGTGACCACGCTGACCATGGCGGCGCGCCCAGCCTGTGGATAACGAAGCCGCGAGGACCCACGGGCACAAGGCGGCAGCGTTTGGGGTATTTAACACGTAGGCACTCTGGACCCGCCGAGACGCGGGGTTCAGGCGCTCCGCGTAGGGAGCTAGATTCACCTTGTACTTGGAGGGACTTGGAGATACAGGTGCTTCGTGTTTGCGGGGACACGCGGCGTACTGAGATGGGGACATAGGCGCTGCGCATATGGGGGTAGGGGCACACCGTGTACTCGCTAAGCCCGGACGCAGTCGCTTCGCGTAGAAAGGAAATGGGGGACACACCTTACACTCCCAGGGACTCGGGAACTCCGGTGCTGGGTTTTCCCAGACACGTACCGCGTCTTGGAGTCAGACACCGAAACACCAGCTCCTCGTACTGGGAAAGCCACACATCCAAGATGTTCACCCGGGAGAAAGACTTTAGTTACTGGGGATAGCTCTCTTCAGGCAAACTCACGGACCTAGAGATCCGGAGCGAGGGTGAGGACACATTGCATCCCAAAGACAGACTCCCGTCCTCTCGCGAAGGACCTGGACTTCCAGAGAGAGCCCATGGGCACACACAGCGGGTACAGGGAGAGGGTCATATTAACTCATATACACGGCAATTGGGATAGAATCCTTGGAACGCATTTTCGCGTTGGGAGGAAAACAAAAAACGGGAGAGGCGCCGAGAAGAGCCGCTGCAATCAGTGTACTTGCCCAGGCGGCTTTAACTCTGAATTCTGTGTGTGGCGGTTGGAAATGGGAATGGACACACTGCGTCCGAGAGAGGGACATACATGTACCGTGAGAGGGAGAGAGATGGGCACCATTTAATGAGAGAGGAAAGACTTTATTGAGATAAAATCCACAGGGCATCTTCACAAATAGCCCAGTCCACACCAAGGAAACACTCCGTTTAACTGATCTCATAAGATAGGCACGGAGAACCAGAGGGACAGCCAGACTCAGACGCACTTACTTATTCAGATAAAAGTGGAGAAAAGAATGAACATCTGTTGAGCTCCCACTAGTGCCAGGCACTTTAAATGCATAGAAGGAAGACAGTTGAAGGCAGACTCAGAAGAGGTGTGAACCCTCATTCAGTGGGAGTTCATGAACTTGGGCCAAGGAAGACTGACATTCAGAGAAGATCCCTACTAAAAGTGAACAAACAGGACAGCACCAGATGTACGCAGCTTGGGAAGTTCTTGAACTCCCGTAGTATTGTATCTGTAAACAGGAGAAAATCAAAAAGGTGTATGTGCTCTCAGGGGGTCACTCACAGTATTGGATGGACATATGAAAGTACATGCCAGGACATGTGTCACCAGCACAGAAACATATGGCAAGAAATACTGGCTTCTGGGAAGGGGGGAAGTGTGCATGCACAAAGAGAAAGGTACGTTTCTTTATACCATAAAATCCCATGGAAAGTCTTATGTATGGCTGGGAGGTCAGTGACTACATGGTAGTAGAGGTGTAAGCAAATTAAAGAAGTAGAAAATCGCACGTCTTAGTAGCCACTGGGAGTCAGGTGCACCTGCAGGGAAAGAACAGCAGCATGAAAAGTGGGAGGCCCATCTGGGGGAAGCCAGATAAGCAGGCAGAGGCACAGAGCAGACACTGGAGAGAAACTGGGCCCTGTGAGATGGAAAGATAAGCTTGCCTCTTCCAAGAGAAGGGCGTGGGAAGGATTGACAGTGGGAAGAAGGTAGGTCAAGAGATATAAAGAGAAAAACACAGGCCAGAGAGGACAAAGCCAGCAGGAGGAGGCTAACCACTAGTGAAAAATAAATGCAGAGACCAGAGAAAAGCTGACACATGATGGGGAGAAACACTTCTGCAGACAGTAAGTCAACCAGTCACCTTGGAGGAAGAACAGGAAAACTGTGTGATTGATTTTCAGTAAGATTGACAGTGTACACTTGGCAGGAAAGAGGTGTATAACAGGGGACACTCTGGAGGGGATGGTACTCAGGGAGAATGAGGTGACAGTTTACCAGTATCCACTGTTCTACATGACCACTAGCACCCAGGAAATGAGCCCTGTTTACAGCATCCATTTCTTTTCCTACACCTAAGTGTTGATACGTTTGGAATTCAGGTTGGAGTGATTTGATTCCACAATCCTATATTTATATAACAGTGTCTTCCAAAAGACAAAGAGCCAAAATTTTCTTTCTCTCCCAACCGACAACTTAATTGATTTTTCTTTTTTGTTTGTTTTAATAGTCGAAGGTACCAAAGACTATGGCTTTCTCTACTCTTGACTACTTCTCTTGCTTATGATAACACATAATTATCATTTTTCATCTGTGCTTGCCAATTAATGGGCCTACCCAGCTTGTATAGACGCAGAAAAAGGAAAGAAAGACTTTTCCCTGCACTTTATTCTGAGAACAGTCAGGTCAATTCCTTTTCTCCTGAAAAGCTGGTGGCAAATACAGTAGTATACAAGGCAAAAGGGTAAGAAATAAGCTGATGTGCTAGTAAAATTGGATAGTCTTTTTTTGGACTTAATTAACTCCTGTCCCCAGGCCTCACTTTATACTTCAGCCACAGAAACACTTTTTAAGGAGCATGGAAAAGCAGGAGTTAGGATGAGACTATTAACCCCATATGGGTGAAAAGGAGAAAGAGATTAGACAAGAAATAAGGGACCCTTTGGGTGATTATGCACACTGCTGGTGCTTATTGCACTTTCCTCTGGTTTGCTCAGCTAAACCTCCCACGAATGTCTCCTCTTCCTGGCTTAATCCTGGGGCAAACAGGGCTTCCCCATAGTCACAGTAACAGCTGCCAAGGAGTAGGCATCTGGCTGAGCTTTTCTTCCCCAAGTAAAAGTTCTTTTATACCTTCTAACCGCAGAAGTAGGGCTTCTGTCTTTAACTCCTATCTGCTTTTTAGAAATATGTTGGCATTCATTGGCTAATTGGAAAGACGTTTCTGATGGCAAAGCCATCAAAACTGGGAACAAAATGGCTTTGATTTCTCACATAAAACCACCCCACCACCCTGGTGCTCAGATTGGAAGGTGCTTGATGCAGGCAAGTGACCTTCAAGTGGCTCTGGCCTGTGCACAGTTACGGTTATTATTCCCCCTCTTTTAATGACTTTTCAAAGGGCTAGAAATTTCAACAGGTTTGACTTTCCTAAATTAAGCTTCAAAGAGTTATTTTTATCCAGATCATTTTATCCATTGGATTTACTTTTCTAAATTAATCCCCCTGACCTAAGGCTTTCGGAGGTAAATTTAGGAATTTGGGGGGAACTATAATTTAGACGGAATACAGGAATCCTTTAGGTGTAATTGAGCAAGTATGTGAAATTATTAGGATTCATGGAAATAATTCCTCACTGTTTCAAAGACAAACAAACCTAATTGACCTTCATTTTCAAGTTTTCTTTTTTTAGAGAAGATAAGAAGAATGCTTACTTGGAATCTTTCTAAATAGAAACTGAAGTGAGGGAGGAAGATGGAGGGCAGAAACACTGTGAGTCCAGGAATGGGAGTTACAGTTGAACTAAATATCTTCTAAAAGTAGTTTTAGCTCCTTTTGAATACAGAAAGTTTGAAATTGATTATATATAAAACAGTGTTAATCAAAAAGTTATTGTCTTAAGTAAATCCAAATAAACTATTACACATAATCTATAACATTTTTGCAACTCTCCCTTTTTTTTTTTTTTTACTACAGATAATTCAGATAATTTTGAATGCAGAGACAGGTTACAAAGTAAAAATCTTAAATTACAACTTTATAATCCTTAAATTGGCATCTGTGATTGTGTGGTCTGTATGAGCTCTATATATTTTAAATAAGCATATGTTACGCAATTACATATGTCTCCTAAAACTATATTTAAAATTCTAAAATATATCTTAGCTAAAGTATAAATGTAATGTAAAATATAAATAAAATAAAATATAAATATAAAATATAATGTAGTTTTCTTTATAATGACTTGAAAAATTCATTTGGAATATCAGTAATCTTATCAAAATTCTATTCAGACACTGATTGCTGAGTTGTGAATTCAGTTTTTAAGAATATTTACTCAAAGTTCAAAGGTGATGGCTCAAATAATAGTATCATATTTACTCACTATTACATAAAAAGTTTGTGTAGCTGTGTTTTGGGGCAGGGTATATTCATTCTCTGTGCCTAAAGGCCAGAAAGCCTTTTAAGAAAGACTCAGTTAACATGTTTTCTTGTCACCTTTAATTGTAAGCTTTAAATAATTTTTTCCTTAATTACTAAAAAATATTATTGAAGTAACACTGCACTATAACATAAATTTTCAGCATTAAAAATCAACATGTATGTTTCATTACATGACTAAAAGTCCAATTCTGTCCTTCACCACACAGTCGACCCCTCACTGTCACTAAGTAGTTTCATGTCTTGATTTGGAAAATGATTGTTTTGAAAATTTGTACAAATATATTTAATTTTTGTATGAGACTAGGTCTTAGCATTACCAAATACTATTGGTTCCAGTCAAAGCATGAAGTATTTTATAAAGCCCCAAAGCTACTATCCTTCCTAGT